CATTTATTGTCATGTATATCCAATATAATTAGATCAGAGAGGTTGCTGTATTCACCCAAGTTAGACCACCTCGAACCTGAAGGAAAACACAGAAAGCTGCTACCAACCTTCCTGTTTATCCTGAGGCTAATGTACTCTCTAGTAAACCGTGGTAGAGAATAGACTACAAGTGACTTGTCTTAAACAAGAAGTAGGTTTATTAATGATAGTAATAGGTAGAAATTAGAGTAACTGGCTACATTCTATCATTTAACAGTGCTGGGATCTGGGTGTGTGACCCCATTTGGATAATGCGCTTCTTCTCCACCTAAATATTGTGTGACATCATCAGATCGGGTGAAGCTCAATGCAGCTTCAACATTAAATCTTTCAGAATTATTACTTCATACAACTTCATCCTCCAAGCTTTTCTCCCCCCATAGTTAAGTACAGTGAAAAGTGTGTACCTGCGCCATACATACATGGCGCCAATCACATTAACTTAGAATAAGATAAGAAAAAGATAATTTAAGAGATTCCAACTTTCCACTGCCGCAGTCCCGCTCCGGGCTTTCCAGCCATTGCCATACCTCTGCCAGAGTGACATATTATTGATGTAGCTCTCAGGGAGGTATTGCTGCTGATCCTCTTTTTAGAAAACACTGTCTTTTACTACCTCATCTTGAATGAGAGTTTCTGCCTCTAAAGTACTTTTTACTATTCTTTTGAACTTCTCAAACAAATTAAAGGATAGCATCTAAAACTTCCTGCATTTGAGAACCCATTACAGAGGCTCACATAAGAAGCATCTCTCAAGACATGTTGCTGGCATCTCCCAGTTGTGGAAATTTCAAAACACTGTGCACCATTTATAATGTAATGTTCATCCACATAATATCTTGCATTCAATTCTAAAACGTCAAAACTGACATCCAGCCTTTATTGGGTGCCCAGACAGATTTTAATCAGTAAAGGAATCACGAGTTATAGGAAAAGGCAGGAAGGTTGAGTTGAGGGTTATCAGATCATTCTTGATCTCATAAGAGTAGACTACATGGGCCAAATGGCCTACTCTGCTCCTATGTCTTATGGTGTTATGGTTAAACATGATATCAAATTCATTAAATACCGATAACTCTTCCTAATTAGCTTTTGTGAATTGTGTGCAGCTATTAATGATCTTTGTTAGTATTAATTAATCACTTTAATGATCAATTCTAACTCCTGCATCAGAGATGACACATTTACCTGCCTAGAATTTCTTGTTGAATGGATGTATTATATTTGCCCCTCTGCAGTCCAATGTAACCTTTCCTGAGTCTAAGGAATTTTCAAAAATCAACACCAATGCATCTGCTACCTTACTAGCTATACCTTCAAAGCCTTAAGAAAATGTGCATCTGGACCTGGAGACACATCAGCCTGCAGCTCCATAATGAGTACCAATCTTCCAAGTCTGAAGCGAGCATATTCTGGAATAATTGTGAAATCTTCACAATGCCTGAATTTGTGAAATCATAGACTTTGGGAGGAGTTAGGGTAAATGTAAAAGTAGTTCTATACGTGAATGTATAAATTTTAACTATGGGGGGAGAAAAGCTTGGAGGATGAAGTTGTATGAAGTAATAATTCTGAAAGATTTAATGTTGAAGCTGCATTGAGCTTCACCCGATCTGATGATGTCACACAATATTTAGGTGGAGAAGTGCATTATCCTAATGGGGTCACACACCCGGATCCCAGCACTGTTAAATGATAGAATGTAGCCAGTTACTCTAATTTCTACCTATTACTATCATTAATAAACCTACTTCTTGTTTAAGACAAGTCACTTGTAGTCTATTCTCTACCATGGTTTACTAGAGAGTACATTAGCCTCAGGATAAACAGGAAGGTTGGTAGCAGCTTTCTGTGTTTTCCTTCAGGTTCGAGGTGGTCTAACTTGGGTGAATACAGCAACCTCTCTGATCTAATTAGAATGACTTTGTTGAGTAAACAGTATGAAGTTTATTGCTTTTCTGCAACTATTTACAGATTATAAAATCATGACCTATATGACACGTAGAAACTGGGAGCATGCTAGCCCCAGATCTGTCATCTCCAACTTCCTTTACTATTGACCAGTCCCCATAACATCATCATAGAGTGTGGTACTTATTGCAGCCAATCAAATATTAATCTTTTTAGATCCTTTCGGATGCATATATAACAATCTTGGGATTCTTCTGGCGCAGTTCTAGATTCAAGATTTCTAGATTTATTTATTTGTCACACGTATTAAGTACAGGAATACATAAGTACAGCGAAAAGTGCACAAAGTTGCCGTTCACTGGTGTCCACTAGGTTACAAAAAACAGAATTAAAAGATTTAACAGCGCCAAGAGGTAAGCAAAAAAAAAAGTCCAGATCTGAGTCCCAAGACCCATCTCCACAATGGTGCAGGTGCTGCTCCAATCGCTAGGCCACCCACGAGGCCGCCTCACCTGCTTGCCCTAGCCGCTGACTGCTGCTGCCTCACTGACATGCTTTTGCCGATGTTGCCTCACCATCCTGCTCTCGCTGCCAACGTGTCCTCTATTCTGAGCTAGGAGGCTTGGGTTAATGTCCAACTACTCCAGAGATGTATAATGACATCTCTATAACATGTCGAGTAGTAAATACTTATAACAAGCTTTGTGGATAAATTGCCTCTTCAGAGACTATTGTAGTAAGTTTATGCTAAGTTTTATATTTCTCAACTTGATATTGGTAAGTTTTGGTTTGTATTTAAAGATCTGACACTTCTTTATTGTAGGTAACCAACATAGATCAGGGGAACATGTCTCTCAACCCCTAGATTTTTTTGGGACAACAAATCTTGAAAATAATCCTCCTGTGCTTCCTTTGCACATGGTTGTACAGCTGCTTTATCTTGTGCATCTTGAAATAAGATATACAAGACAAATTTGACAATAGGTATCAAATATGGTCATAATTCACCAAGTAATTAGATACATTAAACGTGCAGAAGCAGCGTGATTTCCTGATTACGCCCTGACAGTATGCTTTTCTAAAAAGAATAAAATGACAGTTGAAATGAATTCCATAATTTATTTCTGTTGCTTTTATTTTTACTTTGCTTTTTTTTTAAACACTCCTGAATCCTCTGTTCTCCAGTGCAGTGATGCCGGATGGTTGTACTGTTAGAGAAGCCACGTTTCAGCTGAAATATAAAATCAAGCCCTCATTCTGACACTGATGAAGAAGAGCAGGGAATATTGCCTGATGTCCTGACTAGTATTTGTCCTGACCAGTAATTATCCTTCAACAAACATCATTTGTACCAAAACAAAAACTTTATCTGGTCATTGTCTTATTGCAGTTTACAGGATCTACTATACCTGAAATTGACTGCTGTATTCATACACTATAACAGTGACACATTTCAAAGTTATTTCCTTGGCTGTAAAATGCTTTTGGGACTGTCTGAGATTGTGAAAGGTGCTCTATAGTTGAAACTCTTGCCTTCCAGTTGGCCGGCACAAACCGATCAATTGTCATTTACTTATGGAAAACTTGGATAACAATTATTTAATTCCTAGAAGTTTGATCCTCTGCAAATTGCAAAAGAGTGAGATTTATTAGTTTTGAAACCGTTCCTGGATATGTTTTAGGAGCAAATTGAATTTCCAGGCATTGCTCGTGTAAAGTTAGACGGGGCTTTGATTTATAAAGGTGACACCACCTTGTATTTATGCAGCATTTTATAACATCCAAAAATGTGGTTCTTAGGAACGTCAAACAAAATTTGACATTGAGCCACATATGCTTTTCTATGAACATGGGGGAGATGACCAGAATTTTAGACAAAGAAGGAGGTTTTAAGGAGTGTCTTAAAGGAGGAAGGAGAAATAGAGGCAGAAAACCAGAAATGGAACAATGCTAACTTGGAGAATTCTGGAGATGGCTAAGACCTAGGCAGGAATGAGGCCATAAAATGGTTTGAAAACAATGATGGGAAATTTAAAATGCACACTACGTCAGTTCCCAATATTATTCTGTTGCTACGTCAAAGTCTTTCTTTAAGGATACTCAGTCTCATTACTCATGAGTAAACACTAGATGAAATCAGAGTTCATGTCCTTCTCAGCCTTCAGATAGGCATGTGGCTTTTTTTTTAAAAAAAAGTGTGAGGAACAGGGGAAAAGAGTTAAGCTATTGAGTCCGTCAGGCTTGCTCCAACATTCAATGAATTGATGACTATTCTGTGACCAAAATCCATATGTCCGGCATTGCCACATAGCTCTTATGTCTTTAGTTGACACAAATTTATCAATCTCAGGTTTTCAATTCACAATTGATCTTGCACCAGTGCTCCCAGATTTGGAATAGCGTACAATGGTAGCAATCTCCAGAGTTCAGCAAACGCAAAGTTACTAAGATTCAGTTAACTTCAGGTAATAAACAGTATAATGTTTTCCATAGTTCAGACAATGGTCAATACCACTACTTCAGATGCAGCTGACCATGGTTTAAATGAACTTTGAGCATAAACTTTGGTATTAATCATGCCTGAGTGTATTTGGAAGCACTGTATTGCTGATGTGACAACATGTTTTTGGACTGCTGAAGTTTTAGCATAGTTCAGTTATTTCATTAATGTACTGGGTCTGTTGTTGTATTTTACTGAATTAACTGACAACAGCTTACATCATTACACAAATAATAGTTGATCATTTGATTACAGTTCGTCATATTGTTATCCTTCCAAAAATTGCAAAATAATGACCAAAATACAGCAGCATTAAATTGAAAAATATTGCAAAGGTGGAGAGAATACATGGGTCAATTCTGCATCGTTGTTTTACTGCAATAACCACACTTTGTTTCATGTCCAATGAATTGTTTTCAATGTGGAATATCATGAGATGAAGGGGGCTATATAAGTGCACATTCTTTATTTCACTTAATGCTTGTCATTGCACACATTTTGTGAACACAATTTTTTTTGTCCAGTTTTAGTTTCTATTTTGTGTTTGTAGGATCTGGATACAGCCCATTAGAAGATGATGAAGATGCTTATGCAAATGAAGCACGTTACGCTAAATATGAAGGTGAATGGTTTATTCACATGTTAATAAATAACTTGAAAGGAGTTGTGTCCTTTTCAGTTCACAGCGATCATACTGATTCTAGTGTGCACTGGCTAACTTAAATTTGGCTGCTGTCAGGGCTGAAATTCTCACCAAATTTCTCTTAACTTTCTCATGAAAGAACCATTTATTCCCATGTTAGCAACATCTAATATAGTATCCAACTTTCTATCTTGCAGTCAGTTTATTATAAAGCACAGGATATTCTAGAAATCGTGAACTTTTACCTTGCCCTCTGTCAAGCACCTTTTACCGTAATGTGGTGTTATATCTCAAGCTTCTTTCCCATGTTTACCTGTAGTACTTATATTCATCAGTTGATTATTACCAAAATTGAAGTTGGATCTACATCAAAAATATGGCCAATAGAATCACAGAACTAGGAATATTGTCATGTTGTCTTCTGTATGGAGATATTATGAAGAAGATGGGTTGATGGGCCAGATACCTCTGTTGTACTAGTTGAGACCAAAGTAAAATCATACTTTCATGTAATTAAGCAGGCTTAGAATATGTAACTGACAAAATAAGCATTATTTAAATCCAGGTCATTAAAAGGTAGCAATGACCATAAAACAAATCTTCCACATGTAAATCTTAAATCTCATTTAGTAGTATTGTTAGCTATGTAAGTTATTTTACATAGAAGATAATCACAGAATAAGGAAGTATTAAAATCTTTATTCTAAAAGGAACCTTAGTAAGACTGAGTGTTGTAATATTAATGCTGTCTAATGTTTCAATATGGGGTGCTCAGAAATATCTTTAATATATTTTTAAAAATAATATTCACCAGTGTTAAATTATTAAATACACCTTTATCAAAAAATGTTTCATTTGAGACCTGACCAAGATAATTCAGCAATTTAGATGTTTGAGCATATTAAATAATGCACTGAGAGGTTTAATGTACTTTGAGTAACAGTTAATGAACTGACATGCAAGGTATCTGTGCATGTTGAAACAGTTCTTAATAATTTGTGTTAGACTGGACTTTACCAATAAGACAACTGGATGTTAAGGTAGACTGATGGTTTTGTGCACAACTTGCCAGTATGATTGTTGAAACATTGCTTTTGAAAATTAGCAATGTTTTAACATCTAATAGCTGTGTTAGATTATAGCATGACCATTCAACCAGTGATTAATTTGTTTGGCAGCTTTATGTATGCACGCATGAACTAATGTAAAATTACAAATTGGAATGTATTTTGGAATATAGCTTTATTCCAAGATTTTTGAACTTGAAGGGTAAATGGATTTTTTATATAACAACATTGCATTCTGAAATAAATATAACATTCATAACAAAAATATGCTAAAATATTATGCAAATATAGCCAGCTTAATCAGGTGACACAAATGGAGTTAGTTAGTACACACCTTTTACAGTTGCAGCTTCTTACAGTTAAGGCTGGCAATTTGATATGCATGCTACTGCCTAAGTTTCATTTGTTTCATACCAGATTTAGATTTGCTATTCAAATCACATGCAAAAATAAATCCCTTCTGAGTTGCCTCCTATTGTGGAATATGGCCTGATTCTGGGGCAATATTGATTTCATAGCATTGATTGTTTTTCTTCTCACAGCAAGAGAAAATTCTGTTTTAAGGATTAAATAATCAAAATGCTATCAGTAATGAAGATTTCTTTTGAAGAAAGAGAAAACTGGGAAGACATTCACAGTTTATAGGACCAACAACACAATGAGGACCATCCAGCTCACGGACACAATTGATTGAGTTGGATGTGTATGTGGTAGTTGTGTCCAGCTCAGTGTAATACGAGTAAAGTATGTTATTATGTCCCTTTTATTTTGTTTTGCAAATTGAAAGCACTGCTATAAGGACATGGCTAAAGTTCTGAATGTTGGGTAAAACAGATAATCACCTTTGGAAGAGATCCTTAAAATTCTGTGTAAGATAATGTTGGCCTGGAATTTGCAGCATCTTGACATTTTGAATTGAAAAGCCTGTCTCACCTATTAGCCTCCACTTTGTGACAAAACCGCTGGAGGTGCCGGTTGATAATTTGCATTTGGGAACTTGATTATTGATGTTCAGTGAGTTAAATTCACGGTTTGGAATAACACCATGTCATACACACCAAAGTGTGCCTTGATCCAGGCGTTTTGTCCCCTTACTAGGTGACATCCTTAGTGCTGTGGAGCCTCCTGTGAAGCGCTGTTGTCTTGCGCCAGTTGGAATTTATATGGTCTTGTTTTTGCTGCTTCCGGTAAGTGCCTGTTCCGGCTGTGTGTTGTAATGATCGGTATATCTGGTCCAATTCAATGTGTTTGTTGATGGAGTCCGCGGATGAATGCCAAGCCTCCAAGAATTCCCTGGCTGTCTTCTGTTTGGCTTGTCCAATGATAGTAGTGTTGTCCCGGTTGAAAGTGTGGTTTTTCTCGTCTGTGTGTATTGAAACCAAGGATATCTGGTTATGTTGTTTAGTTGCTAGCTGGGGTTCATGACGAATAGATACCCTGGACAGAATGAATGTGGTTTAAAAGACACCATGTGAGACTGCACAAAACACAACGTGGGACAAACAGGTAGACAACTAGCAACTTGCATCTATCAACACCAGCTTGGCGAACATACCAACATCTACAACCAGCACTGATCTACAATTCATTACTCAAACCCTGTGCCTAGATCCATTTAGTTGTTCCCAGACCGGGAGGCAATGTTGACTATAATTGGCTTTATCATCTCTTTGAGCTAGGAAAGGACATGGTTAGCCATGATGTCTGCTCCCACTGTTATGCTGTGAACTCTATGGGCAAGTATATTTGTCTAGACATTAAATAAGGACCGAATTTGATCTAGTGGTGGTATTGTTGATGAGGTAGGGTGATATTTTGGGTGTTACCCATGTTGCAAATTTACATTTGTTTTTGTGAATTTGCAAGTTTTCAAATGTTCTTACAGCATTCTAGGTAAACATCCTTCAAAAGGCATCAACTTGGTTTGAATTATTTTGGCGGGAGTCTGGACTGCTGAGGCTCTTTCTAACAAATAACAACATTTTATAGCAAGCACCTTCTTTGCATGTTTGATTTCCTTAAAAAAAATGTATCTCCCCCATTTTAAAACTTACGAAGTCAAGGTTGTAAGCTCCATCCAACTATAATGCTTGCTCCCACTGCTCTTGTTTCCCTGGGGTAATTGTGTTGGAAAAGGTGTATCAGAAGGAAGCAAAGATATGGGTAAACTTTTCAGACTTTAGAAGATTGTGCATTTATGCATTTGCTGGCAATAACGGTTTTTGATTATGTTATCACACGGTTGTGATCTTTCAGTTCAGTTCAGCTCATATGGTGGATGTACACTTCCAACAACATTGTTTTACAGATGGCAAATACTTGATTGGCATGATTCAATGATTCAGAATTGGTCCTAATATATTCTGAGAAATGGATTTTATACTGTATTAATCAAAAATAAAAGTTCTATTATTTCTATTTCACCATGTCATATTTTAAGAGCATATATACATGGGATTATAACCATTTTTGGAAAGTCAAAACCTTAACAGATGTATAAAGTTGGATAAAGACCAGAGTTGAAGTATAGCAATCTGATGTTCTGGTCTGAGAGCATTTTTGTTTTTGAGGAAATTCAAATATGTTCTACATGTGTGTAATCATGCTAGATTAGTAATTTTGATTTTGAAATACAAATGAATGTGGTTCTCATCTATTGTTGGCATTGGTCTGAAATTAATTATACAAAATTAGTTCATATGAATGAATGGAACAGTGTATGCTCAATGTGACAGTCTGTGTGAACAGGAAGTGGTGGTGTAGTGGTAATGTCACAGGACTGATAATCCAAAGACCAGGACTACTATGGACCCCATAATAGTCAGCAGGAAATTGAGAAACAAATTTGTAAGGAGATGTCATTTATCTGTAAGAATAATATGGTGGTAATGGTAGGGCATTTTAATTTTCTAAATATAGACTGGGACTGCCGTAGTGTTAAGGGCTCAGTTGGAGAGGAGTTTGTTAAGTGCGTCCAAGAAAATTTTCTGATTCAGTGTGTGGATGTACTAGAGATTGAGCAAAACTTGATCTACTGTTGAGAAGTAAGGCAGGGCAGAATACTAAGGTATCAGTGAGGGAGCTGTTTGGGGCTAGTGACCACAATTATATTAGTTTTAAAATAGTGACAGAAAAGGATAGACTAGTTCTAATAGTTAAAGTTCTAAATCGGAGGAAGGCCAATTTTGACAGTATTAGGCAAGAACATTCAAAAGTTGAATGCGGGTAGAAATTGACAGGTAAAGGGATGGCTAGAAAATAGAGAGCCTTCAAAAGTGAGATAACAGGAGTCCAGAGCCAGTATGTTCCTGTTAGGGTGAGGGGCAAAGCTGGTAGGCGTAGGAGATGCTGGATGACTAGAGAAGTTGAGGTTTTGTTCACGAAAAAGAAGGAAGCATATGTTGGATACAGACAGCAGGAATCGAGAGAATCCCTAGAAGAGTATAAAGACAGTAGAAGTATACTTAAGGGGAAAATCAGGAGGGCAAAAGGGGGATAGTAGGAACTGCCAATGCTGGAGTCCGAGATAAGTGTGGAGCTGGGGGAATACAGCAGGCCAGGCAGCTTCAGAGGTGTAGGAAAGTTGACGTTTCGGGTCGGGACCCTTCTTCAGAAATAGCTTTGAAAATACGGTTAAGGAGAATCAAAAGAGATTCTACAAATATATTAAGGACAAAAGAGTAACTAGTGAGAGATTAGGGCCCCTTAAAGATCACCAAGGCCACCTGTGTGTTGAACCAGAGGAGATGGCGTAGATACTAAATGAGTATTTTGCCTCAGTGTTTACTGTGGAGAAGGATACATAAGCTACAGAACTTGGGAAAATATGTCCATTTTACAGAGGAGGAGGTGTTGGACATCTTAAAATAAATGAAGATGGATAAATCCCCAGGATCTGATCAGGTATACCCTAGAACCCTGTGGGAAGCCAGGGAAATGATTGTTGGGCCTCTTGCTGAGATATTTGTTTCATCGATAGTAAGGGTAAGGTTGCAGAAGACTGGAGGTTGGCTAACGTGCTGCCAATATTTAAGAAAGGTGGTAAGGAACAAGGGAACTATACTGGTGAGCCTGACATCAGCGGTGGGCAAGTTGTTGGAGGGGATCCTGAGGGACAGGATTTATATGTATTTGGAAAGGCACGGACTGATTAGGGATAGAGATCATAGTTTGTGTGAGGGATATTGTGTCTCACTAACTTGATTGAGTTTTTTGAAGAATTAATGAAGAGGGTTGATGATGGCATGTGATTTATATGGATTTCGGTAAGGCGTTCAACAAGGTTCTTCCTCAGGGTAGGCAGGTTAGCAAGGTTACATCATGTGGAATACAGGGCAAACTTGCCATTTGAATACAGAACTGGCTTGGAGGTGGAAGACAGAGGATTGCTTTTCAGACTGAGGCCCGTGAGCAGCGATGTGCTGCAAGGATCGGTTCTGGGTCCACTGCTTTCTCGTCATTTATATAAATGATTTGGATGTGAACATGGGAGGTATGATTAGTAAGTTTGCAGATGACACCAAATTTGGAGGTGAAGTCGACAATGAAGAAGGTTACCTCAGAGTACAGCAGGACCTTGTTCAGATGGGCAAATGGGCCAAGGAATAGCTGATGGAGTTTAATTTAGATAAATGTGAAGTGCTGCATTTTGCAAAGGCAAATCAGGGCAGGATTTTTACACTTAATGGTAGGGTCCAGGGGACTGTTGTTGAACAAAGAGACCTTGGAATGCAGGTTTGTAGTGCCTTGAAAGTGGAGTTGTAGGTTGACAGAATAATAAAGAAGGTGTTTGGTAAGCTTGCCTTTATTGACCAGTGCATTAAGTATAGGAGTTGGGAGGTCATTTTGCTGCTGTACAGGATATTAGTTAGGTCACTTTTGGAATACTGCATTCAGTTCTAGTGGCCCTGTTGTAGGAAGGATGTTGTGAAACTTGAAAAGATTTAGAAGGATGGTGCCAGGATTGCAGGGTTTGAGCTACAGGGAGAGGCTGAATAGGCTGGGGCTATTTTCCCTGGAGCGTTGGAGGCTGAGGGTTGACATCATAGAGGTTTATAAAATCATGAAGGGCATGGATAGGGTAAATAGACAAGGTGTTTTCCCCAGGGTGGGGGGAGTCCAAAACTAGACTGCATAGGTTTAGGTGAGAGGGGAAAGATTTAAAAGGGACTTAAGGGGCAACATTTTCATACAGAGGATGGCGCATGTGTAGAATGAACTGCCAGAAGTGTTGGAGACCACTTAAGTTACAACATTTAAAAGGAATCTGGATGGGTACATGAATAGTTTAGAGGGATATGGGCCAAATGCTGGCAAATGGGGCTAGATTAATTTAGGATATCTGGTTGGCATGGACGAGTTGGACCGAAGGGTGTGTTTACATTCTGTACTGCTCTATGACTTTATAAGCTTTATTGAAAAGATTGTGTTATGCAGTGAAGAGTAATTGTGATTTGCATGGATATTTAATTGGACATATGATGATATCTTCGAGGAGAATACTGTATTCAAATACAGACTATAAGAATGGGGCATTATGAAGCATTCGGTTTCAAAAGTGAAATATAAATATGAACAGGACGCTAATACTTTATTCAAAATTACTATTTTCCATTTCAATATTTTTTAAAACTTGTTTGGAATGGGGTATCACTGGCAAGTCCAGCATCTGTTGCTCACCCCTACTTTCCTTTGAACTGATTGGCTTTCTGTGTTTCAGAGTGCAACTGAGCTTTAAGTTGAGAGGGGAAAGATTTTAAAAGGGTCCCATGGGGAGGGACATGTATGGAATGAGCTGCTAGAGGAAGTGGTAGAGGTGGATACCATGACAACATTTAAAAGACATCTTGACTGGTACATGAATAGGAAGTTTTTAAGAGGGATATGGACAAAACACAGGCAACTGGGACTAGTTAAGTTTGGGATACCTGGTCTAAATGGAAGGGATGGACCAAAGGGTCTATTTCTGTGCTGTATGACATTATAACTCTATCAACCAAACTGTTGTTGGATTTGGACTACATGTGTAGACTAGACCGGGTAAGGATGGCACATTTCCTTCCTTAAGATGATATTTGAAACTCATCTGTGAAAATGTTGCCCCTTGGTTCCTTTTTATATCTTTTCCTCTCCCACCATTAATTTATGCCCTCAAGTGTTGGATTCCCCTGCCCTGGGGAAAAGATCTTAGTTATTCACTCTATCCGTGCCCCTCATGATTTTATAAACCTCTAAGGCTACCCCTCAGCCTTCGATGCTCCAGGAAAAATAGCTCCAGCCTTCCCAGCCTCTTGGTATAGCTCAAACCCTCCAACTCTGACAACATACTTTGTAAAAGTTTTCTGCACCCTTTCAAGTTTCACAACATCGTTCCTATAGCAGGGAACCAGAAGTGAACGCAGTATTCCAAAGTGGCCTTGCCAATGTCCTGTACAGCTGTAACATGACATCCCAATTCCTGTACTCAAAAGCAATGATCAATAAAAGCAAATGTACCAAACGCTGCCTTCACTATCCTATCAACCTGTGACTCCACTTTCAAGGAACAATGAACTTGCACTCCAAGGTCTCTTTGTTCAGCAACTCTCCCCAGGGCCGTACAATTAACTCTGTAAGCCCTGCCCTGATTTGCCTTACCAGAATGCAACATCTCTCATTTATCCAAATTAAACTCCCTCAGCCCATTGGCCATGCTGATCGAGGTCCTGTTGTACTCTGAGGTAACCTTCTTCGCTGTCCAATACATCACCTATTTTGGTGCCTGCTGCAAAATTACTAGCCATACCTCCTGTGTTCACGTCCAAATCATTTACATAAATGACAAAAAGCAGTGGAACCAGCACCAATCTTTGTGGCACCCTCCTGGTCACAGGCCTCCAATCCAAGAAACGCTTCACCACCGCCTCTGAGGAAGGGTCATTCGGCGCAAAACATTCACTCTTGATTTCTCTCCATTAATACTGCCAGACTTGGTGAGTTTTTTCCAGTAACTTCTGTTTTTGCCTCCACCACCACCCACAAACTCCTACCTCCAAGCCAATTTTTAAAACATTTTTCAATGTCTAAGGTTTAAAAAAAAATTACTTTAAAATGTTAATAAAACTATATCCTCCTGAACGTTTGTTTGCTGATTGCTTGATATCAGCGAGAGACTGCCATTGACTTGATGAGTTGAATCGCGTCCATCTATTATGATCCTATGTCATTAACAACAGCTCTTATGTCATTAACAGACTTTTTAACAGCAGTATTATTATCTTCTATTAACCAGTTGGATATGGGAACTACTAACAATGTGGAATAGGCAGGATATTGTACATGGCAAGCTGCCTGAAAAAGTAAGTATTGAGGATGGATATGAGCAAAACAAGATGTTAGCTGTACATTTATTATTATTGCTGTTTACAGATATTCCCAGGTGCGCTCCTCTAAAGATCAAAAATGGTTATGTCCATTGCAGAACACCACACAGTGGATATTACAAAAATGTACAAGGAACAACGTGTGATATTTCTTGCCAAAAAGGATATGAAATTCATGGAACTAGCCATGTCCATTGCCTATCAAGCAGACGTTGGTCACAAACAGTTAGTTGCAGAGGTAGGTGATACTAATTTATTTGTTTTTTTGAGAGAAAGTGATGGAATGAGAAAACTTTGTTTATTTTATGGCATAATACATAGGAAGGTGAACGACTGACACCAATAGTAATAAGCCAACTTTGCTGTACATTTTGGATAGTACTTGCCTCCAAAACATCAAAATATTTTCCTTGTACCTCCTTTTTATTCATTCAGTAAGCTATTTAATGCCCCAATAAATAGTTACTTAAAAACTTTGGAGAGATGTTTGATACTATACAGTTGGAAATTCTGTACCTCCTCTTACTTGGGAATCCCAAAATGCTGTTGCCATCAATGAATCCCGCACTATCAACATCCTGGGGGTTACCATTGACCAGAGACTCAGTTGGACTCACCATATAAATACACTGGCTCCAAGAGCAGGTCAGCAGCTGGGAATACTGCAGAAGGTAATTCACTGCCTGACTTCCTAAAGCCTGTCCACTATCTACAAGGCACAAATCGGGAGTGTGATGGGATAATCCCCAAATACCGGATAAGAGAAACTTGACACTATCCAGGACAAAGCAGCCCGTTTGATTAGCACCACCATCACAAACATCTAATCCATCTACCACCAATGCTCAGTAGTAGCAGTGTCTACTATCTACAAGATGCACGATGGAAATTCACCAAAAATCCTTAGACAGCATCTTCCAAACCCCACAGCAACTTCCATCCAGAATGATAAGGGCACTAGATACATGGGAATACCACCACCTGAAAGTTCCCCTCCAAATCACTCGTCATTCAAGTCAAAATCCTGCAGTTCTCTCCCCAACAGCATTGTGGGTCTAACTGCAGCACATAGACGTCAGCAGTTCAAGAAGGCAGCTCACCATCATCTTACCCATAGAATCCCTACAGTGTGGAAACAGACCCTTCAGCCAACACGTCCACACAGACATCCCACCCAGACCCATTCCCCTATAACCCGCCTAATCTACACACCCCTGAACACTAGAATACACCTCCTCTCACCCACCTTCCTGCAAAAATGCCATTCCCTGTTCCCAATTCCTCCGGCTCCGCCACATCTGCTCCCGAGATGAGGCATTCCACTCCCGGACATCCCAGATGTCCTCGTTTTTCAAGGACCGCAACTTCCCCTCCACAGTGGTCGAAAATGCCCTTGACCGTGTCTCTCACATTTCCTGCAACTCATCCTTCACACCCCCTCCCCGCAATAACAACCAAAACAGAATACTCCTCGTCCTCACGTACCACCCCATCAACCTCTGGATCTGACGCATCATCCTCCGCCATCTACAGTCTGACCCCACTACCAAAGACATTTTTCCCTCCCCACCCTTATCTGCTTTCTGGAGGGACCACTGTCTCCGTGACTCCCTTGTCGGCTCCACACTCGCCACCAGCCCCACCACCCCCGGCAATTTTCCCTGCAACCGCAGGAAGTGCTACACCTGCCCCTACACCTTCCCCCCTCACCCCCATCCCAGCCCCAAGAAAACCTTCCACATCAAATAGATGTTCACCTGCACATCTGCTAATGTGGTATACTGTATCCGCTGTTCCTGATGTGGCCTCCTCTACATCGGGGAAACCAAGCGGAGGCTTGGAGACCGCTTTGTGGAACACCTATGCTCAATTTGCGACAAACGACTGCACCTCCCAGTTGTGAACCACTTCAGCTCCCCCTCCCACTGCATGGATGACATGTCCATCCTGGGCCTCCTGCAGTGCCACAATGATGCCACCCGAAGGCTGCAGGAACAGCACCTCATACTTTGGTTGGGAACCCTGCAGCCCAATGGTATTAATGTGGACTTCACAAGCTTCAAAGTCTCCCCTCCCCGACCGCATCCCAAAACCAGCCCAGTTCGTCCCCGCCTCCCTAACCTGTCAGTCCTTCCTCCCACCTATCGCCTCCTCCCACCTCAAGCCCCACCCCCACCTCCGACCTATTAGCCTCATCCCCGCCTCCTTGACCTGTCCGTCTTTCCTGGACTGATCAACCCCCACCCTAACTCCCCACCTACACTCACCTTTACTGGCTCATCCCCACCTCTTTGATCTGTCCGTCTCCTCTCCACCTATCTGCTCCTTTATCCATCTTCCATCTCCCTCCCCCTCTCTCTCTATTTATTTCAGAATCCCCTTCCCCTCCCCCATTTCTGTAGAAGGGTCCAGACCCGAAACATCAGCTTTCCTGCTCCTCTGATGCTGCTTGCCTGCTGTGTTCATCCAGCTCTACACCTTGTTATCTCAGACACTGGGAGAATGTGCAAACTCCACACAGACAGTCACCTGAGATTGGAATCGAACGTGGGCCCCTGGTGCTGTGAGGCAGCAGTACTAACCACTGAGCCACCGTGCTTCTCAAGGGCAACTAGGGACAAGCAATAAAAATTCTCGCCAGCCAGCAATACCTGTGTGCCATGAGTGAGTAAAAGAAAAAGTGATTTGAATAGCAAATTGTTCACATTTGGGCAGAGGTTACAAGTGACCTGTGGACACAAATAAAAAAGAAACTCTTACAGTGAGATATTGAAGGAATACTGGCATCAAGTGAACCTACCGATAAGACCATAAACAGCAAGAATAGTAGGCTGTTTGGCCCCCACAAGCCTGCTCTACCATTAAATAGCATCAGGCTCATCTGACATTCCTCATATTCATTTTCTTGGTCTTTCACATAATCTTTGATTCTCCTACTGATCAAGAATCTGTCTATCTCAGCCATAAATATACACAAGGAATGTGTCTCCATTGAGTTCCAAAGACTGTCAACACTCAGAAGAAATTCCTCCTCCTTTCAGTCTTAAATTGGCACCCCTTAATTATGGGACTGTGCCCTCTAGTCCTGGACACACTCATGAAGGGAAGCATCGTCTCAGCATTTACCCTGTCAAGCTCCTTAAGAATCCTCTAATTAAATGATATCACCTCTCATTATTCTAATGTCCACTGAGTCCCAACTGGTTTAATCCTGATCATACAATAAGCCCTCCATACCACGGATTATCCTTGTAGACCTTTTCTGAACTACCTCCAATAAAATGAAAATTTTCCTTTTAAATAAAGAGATGAAAACTGCTCACAGCACTCCAGATGTGGTCTCACCAGTATCTTGTACAGTTGCAGTAAGACTTCCCTACTTTTGTACTCCAACTCCTTGAAATAAGGGCCCACATTCCATTAGTCTTCCTGATTACCTGCAGCTCCTGTGTGCTAGCTTTGTGTTTCATGTGCAAGTAACCCCAAGACCCTTTTGTGTTGCAGCTTTTCTGCAGTTTTTCTTCATTTAAATAATACTGTTCGTTTCTTCTCCCTTCCAAAATGAACTACTTTTGCATTTTCCTACACTATACTCCATTTATCAACTTTTAACCACTTATTTAACCTATCACTATCACTCTGTAAACTATTTGTAGCCCTCTTGCAACCTGTCTTTCCACCTATTTTAGTGTCATCTGAAAATATGGCAAATGTACATTCACTTCCTTCCTTTGAAACACATTCATCATCAGGAAGGTTGGATTTAAAAAAAAAAGTTCTTCAACTTAAATAGTAATTTTTTTGTTCCAGAAATACGATGCCCGAAGTTTTCATTGCCTCTCCATGGAGGTGCAAAGTGCTCTGATGGAGCATATTTTAACTCGAGGTGTGAGTTTTACTGTACTCCTGGATACCAAGTTAAAGGACAAAAAAGTGTGGTTTGCATGCACAATAAAAGGTGGAGTGGGAAGGAACCATTTTGCCTTGGTAAGTTTTAATTATGAAATAAAAGCTGTTTATATGCTAGTATAAAACTGTGGAGTTGTTTTAAAACTGCAAACAAACTTCCTAATTTAAGAAGTCAAAACTTTTATTACCACCTTAAGTGCCAATTTTACTTGCTGTTGTTGATTTTTGTCACTTTTCATGTCTTAACTCGATGTTAACATTTCCTTTGCAATCATTTATAATTATTTCCTGCTGTAAACATTTTCACTTGTTTCAACCTACTTGCCTCTCCTTAAAAATCTTTATTCTTTGTGACATAACCAAATATTGCATATAACCTTTTCACTGAGATAGCATCATTCTTTCCCCACTAAGAAAGACTTCTCATCCTCAGTAATTTCATCCTCTGCCTCAACTGGGCATGACCTGACCTTACTGCTTTCCTGCCCTCCCTTATACCCTGCATTATACCCTACCCTCCCTTTCCCTACATATAAACTCCTTGACTAGATTTAAGGGCTGTCTACTCAGTCTACCATCTGCCATACCCTCTGCACCAATTGCATCATGTTCAAGGCTATCTGATCTCTGGTATTCCCCTCCACTCTCACCCTTCTCTCGGTCCCTCCAAATACCATAACCTTAGTGTCCCCTCTTAGAAATTTCTCTTCCAAGTCATTTAAAATTGCTTTAAATTCCTAACTGTCTAGCCTTTAGCTCTCCTTTCACGACAGCAATGTTGTAGTTACCAATCTACTTAAGCACACTGTCAGCTTTACCAGATCATTATTTTCCCATACCCTGGTCATGTTTCCTAGTATTGCACTCATCTTCATTTATTTAAATTTAAAGGATGCACATTTGAAAAGTTAATCCTAGATAACTGGTCCAGCCATTGATTGTCAGATCTAATTAGGTCCTGCTGTCTCTGCTGAAACTTGTCACTATTGCAGCATCATTCTGGAATGCAAATATAACCCATGGCTTCTCCTCACTACAAAGTATTTTCTTGAACTTGGTCCCCTGCCCTCTCCATTCTCGCCCCCAAGATCAAGTGCCAGGAGAACAATATTGTCATAAAGATTGGAACTATTTGTTCAGTTTCCTTTGCCACTCCCCTCATTGCCATGAGCTATCAAACTAAACTTCTCCTCAGGTTTCCCCTTTTCTGTCGGTGATCCTTGTTTCTGTATTGTGTATTGTTCAAACTTCATTCATGTTGGACCCCTCACTTAAAATTAATTCAAATTCCTAAATTGCATTTGTTATTTCTTGACATGGTCTGTTTCAATGCTTATCTAGTCAGTGTCACATTCTCCTCTCTCCATAAACTTGGATCCATCCCAAACTTAGCTATGCTCATCCTAATTCACAACAAGGCTAGTTTACTTAACATCATTTCTGTACTTGTTCATCTAGATTGACTTGCACTCCAGAAATACCTCCAGTTTAAAATTCTCACCCTTGCTTTCAATTGGCACTATGGTCTCACTGTTCCTATTTCTGTCACAACCTCCAGCTGTACAATCTGTGGTCCTCACTCCACCAATAAACCACATCCCAATATCTCTAATTCTGGCCTCTTGTGCTTTGATTTGAATTGCTCCACTGGCAGTGCCCATGCCTGAAGCTAGCAGGGTCCAACATTCTAGAATTTTATCCCTAACCCTCTCCACCTTTTTGTCATTCTCTCCTTTAGGAAGTAGATTAAAACTTAACTCTTCAGCTGACCATTTGATCACCTGTCCTAATACTCTCTTAAATGGTTCATTGTAAAATTTATTAACCTTGTTGCATGACTTCATCTAAGTGCCTGGGGACATATCATTAAAGGCTGTATATGAATGCAAGAACTTTAATGTCTTTCTGAAACACGGGAGAAGAGAACTAGGTTTAATATATAACTTTAATCTTAGCATTCACAACAACGCAGTATTTCCTGAGTACTATACTGAAGTAGCAGCCGAGAGAGTGTGTTAAGATCCTTTGTGTTCAGTTTGAGCCTGCTAAGTTCTACAGACTACATTAAGCTGTCATAATGTGATGTACTTACAGAGAAAATAAGATTAGTGGCGGTTAGGTAATAGAAATTGGTCAAGGCTTGTGCAGATTTAAAAGATAATTTGCTTGTTATACTTGTCAAGTTTAAGTATTGGGGCAAAGCTTAGCATTAGTCTGTCAAGCCAGAAAAACAAATTAGAAATATTCTCTCAAGTCATTAATTTAATAAGTTTCATTTGGATGCTATTGAAATAATTACTGAAGTTCTTTCATAAGATTTATTTTTGTTTGTCAGATGTGAACATTGCTGGCAAGGCTCGCATTTATTGTCTGTTCCTAATTTTAGCTTCAGAAGAGGATTATTAGTTCAAAAGGTTAAAGATAGTCATACACCACAGAAATGGACCATTTAATCCAAACCATCCATGTTGATCAGACATCCCCAATCTGACCTAGTCCCTTTTAGTCAGCATTTGGCCCACATCCCTCTTAAACCCTTCCTATTCATATACCCATCTAGATGCCTTTTAAATGTTGTAATTGTACCCACCTCCATCTGGCAGCTTGTTTGATACATGCACCACACCTCTGCATGGAAAATGTTACTCCTCCAGTCCTTTTCAAATCTTTCCCAACTCCCCTTAAACCTATGCCCTCTAGATTTGGATTCCTCCACCCTGGGGAAAAAATCTTGGCAAATCACCCTATTCAAGCCCCTCATGATTTTATAAACCTCTATATGGTCACCCCAGGGTCTCTGGAACTCTTAGGAAAACAGTCCCAGCCTTCTCCCTATAGCACAAGTCCTCCAGTCCTGGCAACATCCTTGTAAATCTTTTCTGTACTTCCAGGTTTAATAATATCCTTCCTACAGAAGGGCAACCAGAATAGTATGCAGTATTCTAAAAGTGGCTGCACCGATGTCCTGTATAACTGCAACATGACATCCCAACTCCTACACTCCATGCACTGACAATTGAAGGCAAGCATGCCAAATGCCACCTTCACTAGTCTGTCTACCTGCAATTCCAATTTCAAGAAACTACGCAGATGAATTTCTTCTAGGTCTCTAGGTGTTCTAGGCAACACTCTCCAGGGCCCTGCCATTAAGTGTATGGTCCTGAATGAAACCCCATCTGCCACTCCTCAGCTCACTGACCCATCTGATCAAGGTCCCGTTGTACTCTGAGATAACCTCCTTCGCTGTCCATTACATCAACTTACTTACTATACCTCATGTATTCTCATCCAAATCATTTATGTAAATGATGAAAAGCAGTGAACCCAGCACTGATCCTTGTGGCACACCTGTGGTCACAGGCCTCCAGTCTGAAAAACAACACTTCATCATCACCCTTTGTCTCCTACCTTCAAGTAAATTTTGTATCCAATTGGCTAGCTCCCTCTGAATTCCACCCTCATCCGTTTGATCTAACCTTACTAACCAGTCCACCATGTGGAATCTTGTTGAACATTTGTTGAAGTCCGTATTGCTTATGCCTACCCCTCTGCCTTCTTCAATCCTCTTTGTCACCACTTCAAAACACGATTGCCCATGCACAAAGCCATGCTGATTATCCCTAATCAGCCCTTGCTTTTCCAAATGCATGTAAATTCTGTCCCTTAGAATCCCCTCCAACAACTTACCCACCACTGACGTAAGGCTGACTGGTCTGTAGTTCCCTGGCTTTTCCTTACAGCCTTTCTTCAATAATCACACCACGTTAGCCAATCTCCAGTCTTCAGGCACCTGACCTGTGGCTCTCAACATCCCTGACTACCCAACAGAAGATCAAGCATTGCTCCTTCTCTAGTAGGCACGTCCACTTATTGAATAAAAATGCTTTCTTATGCGCAATTAACAAATCCCTCCCCATCCAAGCCCTCAACACCATGACAATCCCAACCTATGTTTGGAAAATTAAAATTCCCTAACATTACAACCCTATTTTTCTTACAGATGTCTGAGATCCCCTTGCATACTTGCTTCCCAATCTCCCGCTGACTATTGGGGGAGAGGGAACTATAATCCAATCCCAACAAGGTGATCATCCCTTTTCTTATGTCTCAGTTTTTTCCAAATAACTTCACTGGATGATCTCCCAGGAATATCCTTCCTAAGTACAACAGTAATGTTTAGGGGAGGTGATGGCCTAGTGGTATTATCACTGAACTGTTAATCCAGAGACCCTGATAACGTTCTGGAGACCCGGGTTCGAATCCCGCCACAGCAGACAGTGGAATTTGAATTCAATAAATATCTGAAAATAAGAGTCTAATGATGACTGTGAAATCATTGTCGATTGTCAGGAAAAACCCATCCAGTTCACTAATGTTCTTTTAGGGAAGGAAGCTGTCATCCTTACCTGATCTGGCCTACATATGACTCCAGATCCACAGCAATGTGGTTGACTCTGAATTGCCCTCTGGGTAATTAGGGATGGGCAATAAATGCTGTTTAGCCAGCGACGCCCTCATCCTGTCAATGAATATAAAAAGCTCTCCCTAACCAAAAATGCCGTTCCTCTCCTCTCTTGCCTCCCTTCCTAGCCTCCCTTTCTATCATTCCTATAGCATCTATACCCCAGAACGTTAAGCTGCCAGTCCTGTCCATCCCTGAGCCATGTTTCTGTAATCACAATGATATTTCTTTCTATTCATTTTTGGGATGTGGGCATCGCTGGCTGGCCAGCATTTCTTGCCCATCCCTAATTGTCCTTGAGAAGGTGGTTGTGAGCTGTCTTTTTGAACCACTGCGGGTGGACCCACAATGCTATTAGTGACCCAGCGACAGTGAAAATATTTCCAAGTCAGGATGGTGAGTGCCTTGGAGGGGAACTTGGAGGTGGTGGTGTTCCCATATTTCTGATGCCCTTGTCCTTCGAGATGGAAGTGGTTGTGGATTTGGAAGGTGTTGTCTGAGGATCTTTGGTGAATTTCTGTAGTTCATCTTGTAGATAGTACGCACTGCTGCTGCTGAGTGTCAGTGGTGGAGGGAATGGATGCTTGTGGATGTAGTGCCAATCAAGTGGGCTGCT